CACACACACACACACACACACACACACACACACACACACACACACACACACACACACACACACACACACACACACACACACAAAACTCTGTGTGCCACAGACACTGCCGAGTGGTATCGCCAACTCTACATGACATGTGTCAGTCTGCAGCCTGGAGATCGCCCAACGTTCTCCGCGATTCTTCGTCGCATCGACTCTGCCTCTCCAGAGACATCCGCTTAACAATTAGTGCAGGAGCACCCTCCTTCCCCCTTTACGCTTGTCGTTTCCCGAGTTGTTACCCAGTTCTTGCCCTCCCCCCCCGGACCTCGTTTCTAGTGTTGTACCATCAGCTGCTGTAGGCTCCACTTCTCGTTACTGTTTTCCTCTGCGCACTCCTCGCCTCTCTTGTTCCTTGTTTTGTTCCTCGCTGTTCTCACAACGCACAACAATAAAGCTGTATTAAGAGCATCACAGGCCCAGCAGCAGCCAGGAAAGCGTGCGCCACAGTTCAGCAAGCAGCTCCACGGCGCTTGGAACGTGAACCAGAATGGGAAGGGTGGGAGGGGAGGAACGTAGAGGAACGTAGAGGGTACATGCTGAACAAGCCTCAATTTGATGGACGGAGAACAAGTGAAGTGAGCCTGAACGACACACTCCTTGCAAACCATAAGTCCAAGGGAAAGCACGAAACGGACCAGGAGTCACGGCAAGTGTATGCTTCCTCAACGTGGTGTGGCAGCGAAGGCTGCACGCTTGCACGGCACATGACGAGAAAAGTCGCACACGCAAGCGTGACAGAAAGCAGAATAACGCGTGAATCGGCAAGGAGGATGAGAAGGGGAAAGGAGGGGGGACGGGGGAAGAGAAAGAAAGAAAGGAGGGGAAGACGAGGCAGAAAGAAGGCAATAACACATGCAAACAGCCGTGAAAACGGAGAGGGAAGCAAGAGAGGCGGGATGAACGAAAGACAGGCAGACACAACCATCGGTGGTGGCAGAGACACAGAGAGAACGGTTGAGCGCGTCAGGTAAACTGAATTGCACAATCACCACGCAGCTCACTCATCCTCGTCATCACTGAAGCCGAAGCCGGTGGCGTAAGTCGCGTCATCATCCGCAGCGACGTGGACATCTGTGTACTCAGCAACGTCCTGCGCTTGCTCGCTCACGTCCAGATAGCCGCCATCTGGGTCGACTTCGTCTTCGTCCTCGTCGTCGCCAAACACGTTCTCAGTTGACTTGGCGGAGTAGATCGGGTTGACTGCAACCACAACGCAAATCAAGCAAGGCACAACAAAACATACAGCATGGGCGATTGTGATGAATGAGTGAGTACAGAGGGGGAAGGCTTTGAATGTACGTAATGATTGCCATTGGCAGTCACGTTACAAGCAAGACAAGCAGTTAGGCGCGCTTCCAACGCAGACTGTGCAGTCTTCAACTTGCATCACCAGCCATCAGTCAGTGACTTACAAACTTGGTGGGTCGTGCCAAACAACGCAGCCGGCTCATCATACAACTGTTCGTCGCGATCGCCGACATCCGTGTACAGATCACCATTGTGGCTGTGCATGGTTGCATCTGAACAACGTGTATTCCCAACAACACACAGCGAGCACATTCGAGAGTGAGGTGATGCAATGAAGGGCACAGTATTGACGTTGTTCGTCCGGAACACTGACTTGAGGAAAGCAACAACACAGCACTCTCATGATTCACCTTTTTTGAGGCCGTCCTCGTACACGGGGTTTGTGAAAGACACGGTTGGCCGTTGCTGTGGATCACGTGAAAGGTATTCGGTGAGCTGAAACATGAGAAAGCTGGAAACAAAAGCTACATCACACAAGCAACCTCAAGGGTACGGTACAGACACAGACACACAGACACACACACACAGACACACACACAGAAATACACATGCAAGTCGACACGCACGCACACCCCCTCCCACATGCACGCACACAATCACACACGCACAGAACACTGCTCACGCGTACGGCCATGCACCCACGCTCAACCAACCTTGATGTCAGAAACTACAGTGGGTGATGTGCCAACAACGCTGCGACGTCGCGTCACCATGATGAAACCAACGATTGCAGCAATCAGCACCACGCCACCGAATGCACCAACAGCAAACTGCCATGGCGATGCCCTGTGCAGTGCATGTGCGGGAAAGAACCATGATGAGTGGCAAAGCACAGCTATGAAAAATGGCAAGAGGGCAGAGGACACGCACAGATCATTCAATGCAACGTGCACCAAACCCCAAGATCAACATGCGAGGCGAAAGGAGCTGGCCCCAACAGCATGTGTCGCTTACGCTGTGGAAGATGACGCTTTTGGAGCATCGGGCGATTGCGTTGGTGTGGTGCTTGAGGAGTTGTCCTGCGAAGTTGGAGATGTAGTTGTTGTTGTTGTGGTCGAGGTTGTGGTCGTTGTCGTTGTCGTGGTGGTGAACGCACTCTCAAGGAGTTCCACGGGGAATTCAAACGAGCCCCAGCGCGGCTGCACAACGTGTGCTTGAACCAGCCGAAGAGCCAGCTCAATTGCATCCTCCGCGGTCAGCGCAGAGTTCAGTGTCACTACACACCGCACGCGTGGTATCAGTGATGGGTGAGGTTGTGACTTGGAGGGAGAAACACCGACTTCTCTCAGCGAATACAATTGAGCGTTGAAAGAACAGAGACATGCAAGAGGCCCGACATACAGACACACAGTTTGACTCACGGGGTGGTCTGGTGGTGTTGAGGGCAACGTATGGATGGTCGTCAAGATCCATCATCATCGAGGATGTGGGGAATTCAACAGCAACCACAGACACCTGGAGCACACAATGGAAAGTGAGAACAAAGCGCCTTCATTCAACGCAATTGCCCAAGAGCTTTGCATTTCTTCCACTCACAGATCATGCTCCCAAAGAACACGGCAAAAGCACTGCATGAAGAAGGAGATCGCAAACAAACCACATGCACACCGTCAACAACAGCAGCAGCGGCAGCAACAACGACAACAACATCATCAACAACAAGAAGACACCATACCTTCGTTCCGTCAATGGAAATGTCGATGATGGGAATGCCAATGTCATTCAGCGCTCGCAGCGCACGCGACCGAACCATGTCCTCAAGTGTCGTCATTGTCGTCGTTGGCTCGAGCGTTGTCGTTGTTGTGGAGGTAGTGGAGATAGCTGTTGCGTTTGACGCGGAAGTCGAATTGGTTGTAGTGATCGCTGTAGAGTTTGTGATCGTACTGTTGCCAGCACCACCAGCACCGGCAGCCGTGGTTGTGATGGTCGTCGTTGCGGCTGTGGTTGTGGTTGTGGTTGTGGTTGTGCTGGTTGTGGTGGTGGGCAGGTCATCTGTTGTGGTGTCCACTTCAAACTGCAGCGAGTAGCGTGTGTCTGGGATCACGTACCCGGGCGAACCACCAGCGAGCAGCGTGGGCTCGGGCGGATCCGTGAACGTGACCGTGATGGACAGCTGCGAGTCGCGACGCAGGGACTGTGACGCGCCCTCGCTGTCCATGGAGAACATCATGCTCGACGCAGGGAACGGCAGGCGCTCCACTGCAGAGAGACGGGAGACGACGCGAGGAAAGCGTGGGTGGGGTGTGGGGAGTGAAAGGTGTGCAGTGCAGTCGTGAGTGAGTGACGAAGAAGAAAAGTGGTGCGTGAGTGAGGGCAGCAAACAAGATACGGCATCACAGCAGGAGAGACGCAATATCAAGACCAACAACACAGCCGCACACGCACCCACACACACACGAGAACACACAT